TTACCAGAACATCATGTTGTACATTAGGAGGATACATAAAAATTTTGATGATTTTCCTCTACTGTATACTATTTTTCTCCTATTTTCTAAGGTTAAATACACTTAAATACACTTAAATACACATAAATACCCAAAACCGAATTATACAATATGAAAACCACTTTTGGTATTTTTTCCAGATTACTTACACTGTAAATGATGTTACAAAAAGTTTTGGTAATTTATTTTAACTGTTTGTTATTTATTCTTCAATTAATGGTTATTTAAGGGGATAAAACAAGGAAAAATAGAAATACCCATTGAAAAATATCTTTTATATTTTTCCCAGCCTAGTTATGTATAATAACAGTTAAATAAAAAGTTTGGGTAATTTTGGACACTGTTTTCTATTTATTTCAATTTTTATTGGAATAAATGCTCAAAAATCGTAAAATATAATTAAACAGCTTGGAAATCCATTTTTATATTTTTTCCAGCTTAGTAATGTGTAATAACAGTAAAATAAAAAGTTTGAGAATTTTTATCCTTTGAATGCTATTTTTCGTGAATTTATGTTGTTATGAAGGCTTAAAAATTTGAAAAATAGTTAACCATATCAAAAATTCAAGGAAAATTTTCTGGAAAACCTCTATTGTATTTAGAATGAAAAATACAAGGTTTGACAATTTTTGGAAACTATTTGATAATATCTTACATTTTTAGGAATTTAAAACACTTTTAAATGTGTTGAAACACCCTTAAATTTATATTACTAAATCTGGAAAAATTAATATCCCAAAGTTGTATTTATCGCATGACTTGTAGAATTTCATCATTTCAGAAAAAGTGTAACCAATTAATATAAAATCCAATATTAGAACATAAATTGGCATTTCACTATATGTAGAGTTTAGTATATTAGCATTAGATTTCGACATGGAAACTCACTAGTGTGTGTTTGATGTCGTAGGATCCCGGCATTAAGACGTTGGTGTATTCCAAGGCACCACTTGTATCTACTCGAAACATTGTGAGTATTCACGCACTCCCCTATTTTCAGTTTTTATGTTTTGGGGTGGAAAAACATGTCCCGAAAAATTATTATTTGAATGTTGTATTTAAATTGATTTGTATCAAACATGATTGCTATTTTATTGCTATATCTCTCTATGTATGTCTATGCAACACGGAACATGAGAACTTATCGTACTAAGGCCCTTCCCTTATCTCTAACCATTAACTCTTTGAGCCAATGGTCATTATGGATAGCGCTATTAGGAATTGACAACTCCTCACTCGCCCTATTGCTGGAGTGCATGATACCATATTCATCTATGGAACGATAAGCATAGATCTTGATAGGGCTTCAGTCATAGGTTTGGTTGAGACTCATTGTTTGCTCATACACATACAAACTCGTTTCTCGTTATAGCAATAAACTTGTTATCAATCATAGCAATCAACTTTGTTTCTTATTAAAGCAATGTACTTGTATTTATGAAAAGCCTTATTCCAAATCTTGATTTTATAAACTTGTGAACTCACCAACTATTTTCATAGTTGACGCTCGTTTTACATGCTTTTTCAGGAAATAATTAGTAAGTGGATATAAAGATTCATCATCATAGAGCATGCTGCATCGTGTTGAAGTTATTTATGAAGTTATATTTTGAACAATGTTATTTTGGAAAAACTTGTACTTTGTTTTGTTTAAGCTATGTGTTGTAAACTTTTGAATATTGCTATGGTGATGTATCTTTATCTTTTGCAATGAAACCGTTATCGCTGTCATATCTTGCGTTTCCGCTTTAGCGGGGTGTGACAAAGAACTCCGAAAACGGTGGACAACGACGCCGTATGCCGACGATCGGCGGTTGGCGGCGGTTGTTGATGTCGATGGGTTCGTTGGAGGTGGCTGATCAGAGAAGGGTGACTAGACGGAGCTTCACCATCAGTTGGATAGGAGGAACAAAGCGGTAGTTGGTTGCGGTGGTTCCGAGAGAGAGATAATTCCAGTGAGAGGGGAAGAGGTGAGAGAGGTGTAAGTTTAAGACGAGTCTCCTGCTCTATTTATATTAAAACCTTTTCCGATCCAACAGCCCAAATCGAATATCATCTGAGAGCTTAGATTAAAACTAGAATTGTTGGTCCTATCTTGACCATGCGACGTTTTCATTAATAAAATCAAACACTAGATAATTTTCTAAGAAAAAACAGTTTGATTTCTAGCCTTAAGAAATAGGGTAGCTATCCTAATGAAGCGTTAGAAAGTTATTTTCAGGTAATAACTGTTATAGTTGTGAACATTCTCTTCGTAAAATAGTCGGTATGACATGCAACGAAATGTTAGGTCTTAAATCAAATACTATATCAAAACATGATTCTTAATATATAACTCACTTTTCAATACGAAACCGGGAGTATTTTCGGACAGAAGAGTTAGGAACTTGATAATTTCACAAACTTAATGAGACTCATAGGAAAATTGTCCAAGAATGAAAATTCATTTCCTAAAATGTATCGTTTTTCATTTGAAGTCAGCTTTTGACACCTATCAGTCGGTGACCTATTACCTGGTTGTTTGTTTTCTTGAAACGGTCATATCTTTTCCACACGAACTCAATTTTCGATGTTCTTTATGTCAAAATTTTCCTATTTCCAAGGACTATTTGATGAACATATTGATACCACATAATAATGTCTAATACATAAATTTATTTCAATCATATGTACTAATCCATTCCTTATGTATACTGAAACTGTTTGTTTGTCAGGGTTCATATCAATCCAACATTAAATTCATATTTTTGACGTATTACAAAGTATAATACCTTATAAATAATAGAATGGTAGCCTAATTACCCATTAAGTGTATTACAACAGTGATTAGGTTAAACCTTTTCGTTTAACGGCAAACTAATTTCTACGATTGTGATACAAATCCCACAAGAACATATTCTATAAGCATCTATAAAATTACAATTGCATTTATCAGATTTAACCAAAACATAGTTCTACAGAACCAAATAGAATTACATATCAATTATCTTCACAAAATGAGAGAACAAAGAAAATGTGATAGTTTTGATAATTTACATTGTTTGCTTTAATAAACCTCAACCAAATATTACTAATTTTTTGTGCAACTATATTCTTCTGCAAGACTGGATAAAACAAATGAAAAATAATTTTAACACGTGTACATATACATTCTTCTAATCATTGAATCTATATGTCAATTTATAAATCTATAATTTGCATACCCAGCTACATGACACTCATAAGTGCCTTCATCAGGCAGTTAATTTGATAACCATAATGGATAATTGAAGAAAACGGATGAATACATGTACAAAAAAGAAAAAGAAAAAGAGATCGATTCAACTCTTGCTCAACACATAGATTAGGGCTGATTCTCAAGGTATTCGAGTAACCAGCAACACCAAGATCATAAGCGACTTGAACCGGCAGTCAACTTCATGACTAGAATGAAGAGTTGAAGAGACTTGATGAATAAATATACAAAAACAGAAAAAGAAATCGATTCACCTGGTGTTCAATCTTTTTAGCAGGGTTCTTATTAAGCTTAATCTTATTGAACCATTGTCTTACTCCTCTGTTCTATTGTAACCCTCAAATTTCTGTCTGATTCCTTTTTGCTCTCGTTTGTAGGGATTTGGCATAATTCCTTTCTACTGCTTTAATCCTCGATTTTCTGTTAGGGATGTGAGAGGCGTATCAATATTACATATTTATAGTAAATTTGACAACTTCCACAAAGTACCGTGGCAATGTTTGAAGTAGTAGAAGCTAACTATTCATATTGGGTTCCACTTTTAATCTATATTAGAAGGAGTCATGTGCATTGTGTGGGATAGAAGGTGTTTTTTGTGTCAGTACATGTGTTATTTCTTTAATTACAACATTATAAGGGTTTAATATTACATATTTGCATAGCATGGCAAAAATACTACACATTTAACCAAGCTCTTAACAGAAACCTACACATTGATGTTACAATTTATGAAGATCTAGCTTGTGACTCGTCCTCCATTAACTATCTTCTACAACAAATTTTAAAAAGAACAATGCTATAAAATGAAATTACGTGCTCTGATAAAGTCATCAAAGTTGAGTATTTCACACTTGCTGAGGGTTTTGAAGATTAGGATTTACATTATACGCTAAAACAAGGTTGTGCATGTTGTGGCAACATCATCTATAGTTGATGAATTAACAATAAACTCCTTTTGCCAATAAATAAATCATCCATGAAAACTACTATAAGAGTACACCCTCTATCACAAAACAATATTTTCTAAGATCAGAATCAATAACAACTGTTAATAGGCATGAAAAAACACATATACCTCAAGAGTTTCCTTAGGTAACTTTCCACATGCTTTCCTAGCTTTTGTAGTGTGCTTAATGTGGACAGTCGTATATGGTTGTTTTTCCCTTAATCTTGACAGAATGAGTGAGTGGGTTAAGACAACAAACTTGGCTTAACATATAAGGACACCAAACATTTACTTATTTGGCTTTCTTTTTCCTCCCAACTCCTCTTATTTTAAAATGGATGAGTATTGTGAAATTTGTTTTTTTAATTTAGGGGTAAAATGCTTATTTAGTCTCATTCAAATGGTCTATTTAGTCTAGAAAAGAAGGGATAATGTCACTGTAGCACATGAAACTTTTTACATTTTCCTAATTTGGTCATTAAAGTTTTTTTTTGGTACATTAGACCATTAAACTCGTATATGACCTATTAATTTAGTCATTTTTCATACCTTTAAATGGTTTAACGGTTACGTTTTATGTATGTCAATGAATATATATTTTTTGGCTAATCCGATGCCACGTGAGATATGACACGCCAATAAATGATATACGAAGCTTAAAGCCTTTCGTCTTCAGCTATCGAACTTCACTCGTCTTCATTATTCAGCTGTAAAAGAAACTGATTTAGGGTTTGTGAAACATTTCTGTGATCGAGCTGAAGAACCAAAGAATTCGCAGCAATGGCACAATCGGAATCTAATGGAGTGTTTGTGATGGTGGAACTCAACTACCAAGGGGTATTTAATCGAAATCCTTTCTCTTACACTGGTGGTGTGAAAATCATGTTCATTGATGTCGACTTTTCTTCTATGACTTATTCTGAGTTTTTGACATTCTGCGAACATTTCATGCATGAAGAGTGTAAAAAGTTTTACTACTGTGAACCAGGCAATTCCCTGATGGAAGGGCTTACTCCACTTCAACAATCCTTCCCCTCAAATTGTTCATCTCATCTAGATCCTCTTTAGCATCCAGTTTCTGCTTCAGAGAATATAAAAGGTTTTTGTAGTACCCTTCTTCCTGTTCTTCGTCTTTCCATTCAAAGATGCTACATTTATTCAACCTAGTCTGTAAAAAGCCAGTGCATCAATAAATGAAAATGCTTTGATATGGATGGTAATTAAAGATTAAGAAAATTAGCTACCTTTAATTTACTAATGAAATGGGTTTGATTCACGATCAGAAATAATCGTCAAGAAGAAAATAAAATTAGGGTTTTTTTTTACAAAATACAAATCGACCATGATCGCCTTTACACAAAGACACACCACATGAAACCCTAAAATACTAAGTTATCAAGATCAGGCTTATCGGGACCTACCAAACTGTTTTGACAATTCTAGAAACGCCTCCCAGGGTTTGTTATCTTCTAACACGTTGGTTCTTTAGCTAGAACGCCACAATCACAAAGCTTTACCCCTTCTCACGACTGAACACGAGCCACTTGTAGCTGATTCCTTGAAGGGGATGAGCTCAAATTCATTGTTCTTGAGGACATAAAGAGTCGGTGGAAAGGATTTGACTTTTCATAAAAGGGTAAGAAACACTTAAATGAAGGTCCGATTGAGTGTTTCAATTAATAAGGCTTGTTCGACAACTCGATTTCTTTGACACGTCAATATCCCACATAAGCTTATTGGACACATTAGCGTGCCGCATAAGCATTGTAACCGGTAAACCTTCTAATGTTTTAGATAATGGTGTAAGTAAAAGTTAAAAATGGAGTTTAGTGGTCTAATGTACCAAAAAAAAATTAATGCCTAAATTAGCCAAATGTAAAAAGTTTCATGTGCTACAATGACATTATCCCCAGAAAAGAAACAAAAATACACCACTTTATCCAGTCATATATTATCACCCATACAGGGGAATAAATAGAAAAAAGAAACAAACCCTAAAATAGCCTAATATATATTTACATGGTTATCGTTACAATGGGTTAGAGCAACCACGTTTAGAAATAGGTCATAAGCAATAGCCTTTCGAGTATAAGGTACTTTGTCAAAGGTATTCGCAGGCTCTTTGTTAATCACCTACAAAAATAAAAGAGAATCCAATTTATAATCAGTAAGGAAGAAAAACATGTACCATGCTTTAAAGTCAAAATGAAAATCTACAAAAAATTAATATTATATCAAGAATTATATTTAAATTTATATTACATGAAACTCATGAATAAAGGCCTTAAAATGATATAATTATTATATTACCACAAAATTTAAAATAATTATATTGTCTTATATCAATTTAATATAAAAGTTAACATTTTAAAACTAATAAAGATGATATAAGTATTTTTGTAACATAAATATAACAATATTCTATATATAAATATTCCTTTATAAATAAATTTGGCAATATCTATCATTAGGGTTGTAAAAAAATGTGAACGAACACGAACAAGGGCTTGTTGATGTTCGTTCATTTAAGTTAGCTGAACAAAAGAGAAAACACGAATAGTTAAACAAATGATTTTTCTTTTTCATGTTCATTCGTTTAACAAATTACCTTGTTCATGTTCATTCGTTTATGTTCATGAACATGTTAAACGAAAATAAATGAAAAAAGAAACAAAAACAGAATCAAACATATATGAACATAAACGAACATATAATATAGTAATGTAATAAAAAAAATAATTGAACATTTATAAACATAAATAAACTTAAATGAACGAATGCAAATGAACAACATAAACGAACGTGCACGAACATAAATGACCGAACGAGAAAATAAGAGGGTTGAGACAAGGAGATCCTTTGTTGCCATATCTATTTATCTAGGTTATCGAGGGCTTACATGTGTGCATGGATGATGCTACTCATAGTTCAACATTTAAAGGTGTTTCTACTGGAGATCAAAATTTCCATATTTTGCATTTATTTTATGCGGATGATGTTATCTTTTTTGGAGAATGGGATGTTAAGAACATTAGAAGTTTAATTGAAATTCTTAGACTATTTTATATGGTTTCTATATTGCAATTTTACCATCGTAAATCCAAATTATATGGGATTGGGGTTAGCCAATAAATTATTGAGTAGGTGGATACGTATACTAGTAATGGGGCTGATACGTTCCCATTCATGTATCTTGGGTTATCGGTGGGTCACATGAAGCATAGAAAATCGACTTGGGAGGTTTTATTTAAGAGATTTAACTATAAAATCTTCAAGAGGAAATGTAAAATGCTTTCAATTGGGGGTCGTCTTACTTTGGTGAGATCAGTGCTTGGGAGCTTTGGAATTTATTATTTTTCTCTTTTTAGTTTGCCTATTTCGGTGTGTAGGGAGCTTGAAAAGATTAGAGGTAGATTTTTTTGTGGCATGGAAGAACATAACCCGTTTATTCATTAGGTTAAGTGGGAGATTTTCCTCACTGAATTCGAAGGGAGGCCTATCAATTGGCAGTATGCAGTCGTTTAATCATGCCATATTGTACAAATGGAGGTGGCGGTTTCTAAATAATCAAAATCTTCTATGGGTTGAACTTATAAAAAGTTGTTACGGTCAAGATGTTGGATTTTGTATTTCTGATTCTTTTAGGCATAATAGTGGAGTTTGGATGGAAATTGTTATATCCATGTGGGATATACATAATAAAAAATTAATTCCTTTTTATTCGATATCTAGGAAAGTGGGTAATGGTGAAAATACTAGATTTTGGCTTGATATTTGGTGTGGAGACATTGTTTTGAAACCCAGTTTCCTTGCCTTTTTTATATTGCTAGCAATGGAAATACTTGTGTTAGTGATTATTGGGACAGGTATCAGTGGTCTTTTCAGTGGTGTCGTCATTTTGAGGGTCGAGTTGTTGCTGCCAATATTTCGTGGATTTCGGTTTTGTTAAAGATAGTGTAATTATCTAAGAAACCAGATTTTTGGCGTTGGTCAATAGGGTCTGAAGACTTGTATGTGGTAATGGTGGTGCATATACATTTGGGCCGGTTAAGACTTCAAGCGGGTGGTACAGATACTAGGTGGAATAGATTCCTTCTAATTAAAATTAATATTTTTATTTGTAGATTGGTGTTGGATAGACTTCCTACGAGAAATTGATTGGATAAAACAGGGGTTGAGCTTGATTCTCCTTCGTATCCGTTGTGTCACCAGGAGACTAAGGATGTGAATCATTTTTTTCTTAAGTGTACGTTAGCTCGTCAATTGTGGATCAAAGTGGAGTCTTGGGTGAATATGTTAATTTCGGTTTTCTCCAATGTTGCCGATTTGATACACTGGATTGATGTTTTATCAGTTGCGAGGTCCCTTATACTCACCATGGTTTCGGTTTGTTTTACGTTGATTTAGGTTTTGTGGACGTATCGAAATGCACTCCTATTCGGGACAAGGAAGTACAAAAAGGAGTTTATTTTTTATTGAATTATTTTTTTCTCATTTAATTGGTTTGTAATAGGAATCGAAAAGCTAGAAGGAATTGGAATGAGTGGATGCCAAATACCATTATGAATTAATTGTTTTATCTTTTTTACTAACTCCCTGCTAGTTTTCTTTTAATGAATTCATCCGCTCAAAAAAAAAAAAAGAACAAATGAGATCATTGTTCATGTTTGTTCGTTTAACTAAACGACCCAAAATTTGTGTTCATGTTCGTTCCTTTATTAAATAAACGAACTTCTCGCCGAAAATTTGATTCGTTTAAAGCCCTATCTATCGTAAACTAAATTGGATTTGGTAAAATTTAACTATTTGAAACCACAACTTGATCTAACCAATCAACTCCAGTCCAACATATGCTTGTTTGGTTTCATGCTACATATGAAAAACTAAACCCAACAATAAAACTCGACTAATATTAAGAGATATTATTATTATTTTTTAATGGAAGATGTATTAAAAACCTAGTAAGATGCTAGACAAAATTACATAGTACAAGCATTATAAGGATTAATACACCAATCAACACAACTAATGAAATTAAAAAGAAGATATATCCTTAATCCAATTATACGAAACTAATTGAATATCATATGCCAGTTTTAAGGGAGAGCATCTCTTTTCGTTAAACATCAAAGAATTATGTGCCTTCTAGTTTAACTAAACCATAGAGTACATGAGGGTAAGTTTGAGTTTTTTCTTCTTCTTATCTGAAACCGAGGCCGCCAACAACATAAGCAAATCCAATTTATCCCCAGGAATCGAAGCTAAAAGCCCACTCTAGGTGATAAACCAAATCCAGATCTGTTTTCAAAAGTTGCACTTACAGAAAGTGTGTTCCACCTCCTCATCATTCATGTGAAAAAAAGGACAAGTCAAAAACTCCAAAATCAACACCTCTATTAACAACTTTTTTGGCCATTGGAACATTATTATAAATCACAAGCCAAAAATATAACAATTAATTTTAATCGGAACTCAACTAACCCATTTAAATCATTGAAGTAAACAACCATCTCCACTCTTATTATCCATTAGAAGCCTTATGGAACAAGTAATAAATTAATTGTGGAGATGGTTTATGACAACACTACTGCTATCACTATCGCAAGAGACATGATGGTTACCAACAAGACTAGACACAGTCAACGGCTATTCAATTTTATTTGTTAGGAATTCGAATTAGGAAATGTACGCATTGAGAAGGTTCATACAGATGATAATTTAGTAGATTCATTCACAATGGTTCTTTCTTAAATCAAGTTTGAGATTCATGCAAAAGGAATCAGTCTTCGATTAGCTATTGATTGGATTTAAATTTGTACTTCACTAATATCTAGATATTCAGAACTATGTAGCAATGATATGTAATTTCTTTTGATATATGAGATATCTCTTTTGTGTTAAATATTATTGTGTTCTATGTTAGCATGTTAAATTGATCCTTGAATAACGTAACTATTCACAATTGTCTATAGTCGGTCATTGCTGTGTGAACAACTGTAAATAAATACTAATATGAATCGACTTGGTTGATTTTAAGTGATGAAATGGAACGTGTTGCATCCAAATTC